AACAAACTTAATCTACATACTTTCGCAGGACATGTATGGGGACAATGCCTCGTGGCGCAACAGCAACTTTCGGATCCATGTGATTGGGGTTGGAGAAACTCGAGTGAAGATCAAGATTGGGAGACTTTCTGGACTTTGACACCTCCAGTTCAAGAAGCTCTTGTAATCTTAGTAAAATGTGTATGTAAGAAAGGTTGCACACAAAGATGCAGCTGTACCAAGTCCCACATGCCCTGCATCGAATTATGCCACTGCGGAGGCGAGTGTTCTCAAGGAAGGCAAACCACGCGTAAAATACCCTAAATAAATTCTCTCTGGGTATTTGACAATTCCCTTCAACCTTCCTAGATGTAAGAAAGTACAAAACTAGTGTCTAGAACATCCTCTGAAAGTTTCATAAAGTTGTCACAAAATGCAAGGTTGAAACCTATAACCCCCGCACTAAACTGAAGACTATCATATCATTTGTGAATTCAATTTCCCTATCTTCCTTGAATACCAATTCATTTTTAGGACTCATTAATTTAATTCATTCAAAGTATATGGAATTAGCGACGTTCCAAGTCTCAAGCTGAATTAAGTTTAAATAATTTCATCTCCTGTTATAATTCATTTGGAATTGAAGATATGCACCACTCGTCCTACATTCATACTTCCTTATTCTTTGTTTTGATATATGATAACTCTCTGTACACTGCTTTGTAGATAATCTGTGACAATTTGCATTTAAATTGACGCATATTAGTCAGATGTTTATTGGAAATGATTTTAAACTAACAATAACTGTACTGTAATGGGCTATCTCAAACATTATTGAACTTTGTTATAATAATGATTAATATTTAACATATTTAATAACTGCAATAAATGAGGTTGGTAACCACATCTAACAACTTTATCTCCAATCTTAAAGAAATATAACACCAACTCTTGAAAATTAAGAAATATATCTTCCAATTTCTTAAAGTTCGGATGCATAAAAACCCCTTTCACGGATATCCAAGATCGCGAACGGAGATAATCGTAAAACTTTAATATCACAATAAATATTTTGTGCAGTACCTTCTGAATCGGGGCCGATTTCTGTTTGAGAAGGCACCTGAAATGCAAACATGAAGAGCGAATTTAGTACTCGGTCACTTACATAAAATGAATATTTTTAATATAGCTTGTATGCAACGCGTACAGTTGATCTATATTTGTAACGGACTGAAGATGGTTTTCGAAGATTTCCCAACTACTGAAAAGGACTTCGCCGAGAATGTAATTTTGCAAAGTTTGGATAAAGTGTGTCATAATGTGCCTGCACTGATGTAGTTTTCTGTATTGGGGCGACGTCATGAGAACCAAATTTCTTGATTCAGTTTCCTTCAGCAGCGTTTTCAAGTCCTGAAAGAAAGCGTCATTATACGCCCATACACAGGGTGGCTCTCTCCGTGAGCGACAAAGCTGCAGGGCCTAAGGAGGCTAATGGGCAATATTTTGATGTAAATGACAAATAGTTTTACCCAAATTTCTAGGAAGACACACTTACACATTCTAAAGCTGTGTCGCTCACGTAAATATCTAAAGCATTTACCTGAAATACATTTTGTAAAACCCAAGAAATTCGATGCAATTTCAATAGGAACTTAAAAACTTCATCATACTTCGCAATGGTGTCGGAAGGTAAAAGGATGTTGAGAGGCCAAGAGGTCTTGTACGTTAACGAGATGCAATCGAACACGTCCGGATCACCCAAATCGAACACTTGGGGCAATGCGTTAATGCGAAATGATAAAAACTGAGAGTTATTTTGCAGCTTTGTCGAGTAGTCGAGCGCCTTGTACACCAAGACCGTTAGCGTATGGACGTTAATGAGATCAATCGGGAAATTTACGTCGTACAGTCTTATAAAGAGATTTTCTGTGATATTCCTTCCGAACTCGCCGTCCAACAAAAAGAAGAAGTTTCGCAAACTGGTCAGATGCTTCAGGTACTGCTGATCGTTGATGAAAAATTTTAACAGCTCATTTGTTACTAACTTCAATTGAGCGCTGAGTGGAAAGAGAATGCTCTGCTGTAAATAGAGCTTTAGGCAGTTCGTCGATACAGCCTTGGCGTCCTTATTCGAAATGCTCTTCTTTAACACGCGACTTTCCACCTCGTTGTGTAAATTGAAGGCGGATTTACGATTTTCAAAGTATATCGCCTGGTCCTGTTTCACAAATTCAAAGCTGAAGCCCTGCGTGTCAAAATCCGCGTCGAAATCTGTGGCGGTCGCCGTTTCGCAGGTGTCGATTTCGGGCCTGTCAAAATTAATGGTCGATCTGCTGGGAGTGGTCACGCTGCTACTGAGAGGGGTGGAGTCTATTGACATTGGCGATACCTTATCTAATTCGAATTTGGGGCTTTTGCACGGTTTCGTTTCACTTACTTTGGCCTTCAATAAAGTGGTGTCACTTTTGCTATTCAGCTTGCTGAAATCCAAACAGAGCTTCTCCTGTTTCTTGTTAGCCCATCTCTTAGTCATGTTACTCTCGTTGCCATTATCAGTATCGATATTTTTATTCAAGAAGTTTTCATTGTCGCAAATACTGCCAAATAAAATTTTTTGCTGCTCGTTAAGGTAATTAGTGTTGGAAAAGCAATCGCTACTAATCATCATGCGATTTCGATTAAGCTCTAACGAACTCAAGGGTGCACTTATATTACGATTGTTAACTGTCGGAAGCTCTATACCGAACTCGGACGACAACACTTTTAACTTGTTTCTTTGGGCCTCGGTTAATTGCGTAGTTCCGCTTTCGATCGTCTTCTTCTCCGGCAGCAGGGGTCCTGTAATTATATTCATTTCGACAGCCATTACTTTTGCTTTATTTCGTTTGGCGATTTCAAAATTTTCGTTCGCAATGCTTTTGACTGTATTCGTTTCTTCTGCCTCTTTAGGTTCGGAGGTTTGAACAGAATTTGCATTTATGTCGTTTAAATTGGGTTCAAGCAAGGAACCATCGCTTCTCGCCAGAACGTAGTCGCTAGACGATTCCGCGACTTCTTCGTGCGTGGAGAGGTAGGTGTCGCTGTCGTCGGGCGTACTTTTCTCCTCCAATGTGTCTTCTACCTCGACCTTTTCGCATTTGGGAGCGGGCGGATTACCGAGATCTAATATTTTTCGCAAGTTTTGCGAACGTTTTTCAAAGTGTAATCGTCTAACTTCAGATGCTTCATATAATTTGTTATAATACTGGATTAGATCATTACTGAAACAAATAATTACTTTAATACGAGCGATCCAGTTACACTATCATCAATAACTCAAAAACATTACACACGGCCCCCACTAATCGACCGTTGATATCAATAGGAGCAAAAAATTTAGCAATTTTACTTTAGAATTACAACAGAAATTTTTCGAATTTATATTTTGATAAGCATACGAAAATTTACACGTGTACCGGTTCATAGTGAACTTGAACAAAGATATGTCTGGCGATAACGAGTCATATCAAGGAACGTAATGCGGGAATCGAGCGCGATCTCTTCACCACCAAAAAAACGATGATTAAAATCTTCTTTTGCTATTTAAAACCATTTCTCTATCTTTTTCTTTCTGAACCATCTCCTTTATCAAAATTACTGCGTCGTCGAATAACTACTGTGTTTACGACCGTAAAACCTGCTTAATTATCTTACGCATCGATACAGAAACTTCTTATCGCAACGACCGGAGATAACAATTAAAACGCGATTATTTAAACAAAGTTACGAATCATTAAATATAATTAATAACTCTGCAAATACCCACGTTGCTACAAACCTTCAAGCAATTAAGTCGTGAGCATGCAAAGGCGACTTTCCTTTAAAAACCTCAGAAAATTGTGGCGCCCAACGTGGGGCCACAACAAAACAAGACACTTACGATTCCTCCTCGATAATTTTATTATACAAATTCTCTATCCAAATATTCTGACGTAGCATTTTCATGTTCGCGTCGAGTTCGTCGGCGCGTTTCGTCTGTTTCTCACGCATCGCCTCCGTATACTCGTCCTGCAACACTTTCATCTCGGACTGACGCCTTTCAATTTCTTTCTCAGACTCTTGCCGTCTCTCAACTGAAATCGTAGAATCGATTATCGTGTACTTTCATTGGCGTTACTTACGCTCGATTCTGCTCAAAGTCGCGACGCGTTTCTTCGCGATCAAGTTGAGATAAGTGTGATTTTTCTCGCGAGAGAGATTAATCACTTGCGATAGGGAGACTCGAGGGCCGCAAACCGCCGTGGCCTCCAAGTAATACGAGTAATTGTTGCGTTCAGCTACGGAAAGCTGGTCGGCCATTAAACAGCAGCTGATAATTTCCGGCCGTTTCTCCATTATATACATGCACAGCGGAGACTAAAATGGGAGATGAGAGTGGAGACATTTTTATCACCCGCTTACTCACATTAGGCACGCAGAGTTTCAACAAATTCATCGCTTTTCCACACAGTAAAACGTCTGTAGTTAAGTTTTCGATGAAATCAGGTACGATATCGTGTCTTAAAGTGTAACTTCGAGTCCAGTACGTGCGACCTCTTGTTGTAATATACTTTGGATGCACATTTATAAAAAATTCTCCATACGGGTCGTGTATAGAGCCGTGCAAAAGCCACTGTTGCAAAAATCGACTGTAACAATTTCTTTACAACATAAACCGTTAGCAGCTAGATCTGTTACCTGAAGTAAACCTGACAACAAGGATAGAGTATCGAGTAAAGTACCATTATGAGATTCGTATCTGTAAGACTCATAACCTGCTGGAAGAGATAATTGAGTAAGGCGACCCCATGTGGAATAGTCATGGATTTTTTATATGGGCCGACCTTACAAATCGAAGCTAATGCGGTTACGTACTTTCTTAACTGCCTCGTATGTTGGTGCAGCATAAGTAAATTGAATGAGTTGGGAATAGACAAAATGGCCAGTCGGTAGTATGACAAATAGCGCTTTATGCTTTCACAAAGCTCCTACAAGTCGGCAATTAGTATTTAGGGTAATTACAAGAGGGAATGCTAAGACTGCACAGATACGCTCACGCCCCGTGTTTCTTGCGAGACCATTTTTGAAAAGGTCGTTTTTAATTTAAATTGAGAAGTAGTCGCTTATGCCCAAGCCTTAGCTAAAAGTAATTGTAATTGCTCCTTAGGTTATAGCTCGTTGTATGGCTCTTACCTTTTTTGCTTGTCTATTAAAGTACGTGGTAAATAAATAAAGTGGTATTCGTATATACAAAATGTAATTTGGATAATTCAGATAAAGCGGTAAATTTAAATATCCCATCAAAATTGATATGTTAACTGAATTATATCTTCAAATCAATAAATACTGTCAAATGCAAGATACAACGTCTGCTTTATTTATGATGCAAACGTTATAGGTAATTTAAATATAGGTAATAAACAATGTCAAGTTTCGATTCGTAACGGAAAATTCTATCTTAAATGTAATATACAATTTAAATGGATATTCTAATGCCAAATTCAACTATAAATAACCCCAAAACCTTACGAACAACGTTATAAACAATTGTTCAGAGAAGCGCAAACGCAATTCAGTTTATTTAAATAGATAGAATTCAAACGTACCTTATCCCAAATAGCTGATGTAACTGTGACTTCACGGGAAATGCAGGTAAACGATTTCGGCCATGGAAAAGTATAATGACAACAAAGGCAGAATTATTATTAATAAAAACATATTTATTTACTGTAACGTTTGGTTGGAAATTTTTTATACATGGTAATTCAAAAATACATATTCAGGTACCATCTCAGCACCTATGTGATGTTACCTTGTCCGAATGCCTTTTGTTAAACAGCAGTTCTCGGCTACATAAATTCATATAATTTCGACCTTTTCACCTAAAGTATAAAGCATTTTTGTAGGATGAAAAAAGACCTTTCAAATGAGGTCAAGGCCAACGTAAATTAGTTTACAGACTAACTGAGCCTATCTCTGTAGTCTTAGTCTCACGACAAATTACTTACAAAAAATATGTAACCATTATTCGTCTCCTTTAAAGTGAAGGGATTTTGCGAACACAGAGCATCTAAACCTTTATAGCACCTACTGCAAAACACGAGATCATCAGAATACGACTTCAAGGCACCTGGACTTAGCCCCTCAACGGATATCCCAGGCTTAATCATCATTTCCCCATCGGCCTTAACAAGAAAGCTTTTTGCTTCGATGCCGACTACAAAGTAAAATAACACCTACATCGTCCCAACAGTTGTGCAAACCTAATAAGTATTTAATATCTCGCACGAATCTCTGCGAGGTTAAAACGTTCCGCGCGTCCGGTTTCGGGGTGCCCCACCTTTCCACCTGTGAGGACAACTTACAGACCCATGCGGTCGTTTCAGGAATGGACTCGCATAAGAAGGGAAACTCCCTTTTAGTGCACGAATATCCGAATTCCTCCCATGTTCGTTGAGCACTAGGAGGGCTCCTGGACGCCACCTCCCAGATGTTTAAATCTACAAGAAAAACTTGAACAAAAACATAGTGCAGAAGTACAGTACTTTGGTCAGAAACATTCATCTCCTCGGCACATTTTATAGCTTCCTGTACTTTTTTGTGGCTTATGAAGTCATTGGCACTCTTATGATGTGATGTCCTATACACTACCCTTCGATTACCCATTTTAAACATGTCACTATCATAACCCGGGATCCCATACAAAAGCTCGTCGTCGCTAAGATGAAATTTACTATTATCAAACGCTGGGAATAGCAAAGGTTTGCTAAATTTGCCTTCCAACTCACGATTGAGACTCTTCTCCTTAAACAGATTTTACAGAACGATAATGCAGTCACTTTACGATAACTTACCATTATCGAATCATCTCCTTTTGGTACGGATCTGAGGTGCAATAAGCACATCATAATGTTACAATTTACTTGATCATCAAATACATTTAGATTTTCCAATTTCTCGCAACAATTCCTAATTTTTCTAGCTTGATCTGTTAAACTATAGTCGGACTTTAAAATGTATTCCCACGCAAGTAAGTGGCACACTGGATCATTATTGCCTTCCAATTCCAACGAGTCAACTGCAAAATTAAGTTAGCGGATAATATAGATACAAGAAATCCTCGTACCCGAGCTGGTATTTCTCGAAAGCAATATTTCGTAGCATTTTTTGCGCAGCTTCTTGATATTTTCGCCTGAGCGACCTGAATTTTGGTTTAAGGAGGCGTACTTTTCGCATAATTTTGTTATTAAATCGTAAATACTGTCTAAATTACAATCCATTTTGTTCAAATCCCAAATTTGTTTATTTACATTCTGACAGTTAAATTTTAAATTACACAAATGTCAAAACATAACCACAAAAACAAGAAAAACTGAATGCAGCCAGTTGTCTGTGGAACTAGGAAGTGCCTATTGAAACGACATAAATCCTAACAAAAATTTTGGCCTTTTCAAAGAAATATGGATTTGTGAGAACTCCAGTTCTCTCAGGCTCCCGAATCGGCTTTGTAAAAAGCATTCAAAGCTCTGGAAATTGATTGATGCTCTAAAATTAGTTTTCCTACTAAACCCTTTCCAGAACTTTGTTGGTTGTTCCAAAAGTGGGAGTCTATAAAACTCAGGAAAACATCTAGATTGCTTTGGCAAATTCCTATCAAACTTTGAAAAAGACTTTGCGAGTGCTGTTAATTAGGTGGCTATAAAGTGATGGAAAGAACCTTTGGGAGAGTATTAGAGAGTGGACCTGGGAGCTTTTGATTCCTCTGGTAAGGATTTAAAAGGCATTCCGAAGTATTTCAGAAGACCAATATGATTTTCAGGAACTTCTTATACGTGATCTAGAACCATAAAAAGCTTTTCGCCCACCTTCTAGAACTAGGTAAGCCTAGGAAATACCCAAAAAAGGGTACAAAAATCCACAGAATAAGCCTAAAGGTATATGAAGAACGGTTGTGTTTTAGAGGAAACGTATATAGAACCATATTGTTATATGAACCAAGATAGAACGTTATGGGAAGAGTTTAGCTTTAAAAATGCGAAAAAGCATTGATATGCTTTGGCAAGGTGCTTCAAAGTTATTGAAAACGTCGCTGAACTATTCTCGAAAATCCATCAGGTTGCTTCGAAAAATCTTCTAAGGATCGATCTGAATACAGCTTAGGCATTTTGAGATCTTCCAACGCTTTACAGGGTTTTTTAAAGGAAAGAACATAAGGGTCTCGAGAAAACAATAAAAAAATCCAAAACTATCCAATATGCTGTTAAAATTTGTCCAGATTAGTAGGAGTTGTAGATTGCAAGTACTTGCGACAGCATTCTAACGATAACCATAGACGAATCTCATATGACTATGGATAATATGTTTATGACGCAAACCCCTTAGACGCTATTTAAGAAAGAGAAGGAGCTAAAAAACTCTATAAACTGCAGTGATTTTTCGGGAGTGACTTTATAAAGACAGTGTGGTCATACAGGTGTTATCTTCTATTGGGACTTGGGAGATCCGCCACTATGTTTTGACCATATACACCGGATTGTTAGAAATTAACCTGGAAACTAAGTGATGAATTAATCTTGTTGGACACAATTGTCACAGCATTATTGTAACCATAGCAAAATTTAATAATTTGGGTAAACCAATCAGATCAATGGTAAATTGAAAAAAAAAACATAGCGGACATGGCTATTCTGTCTGTATACAGTTACTGTACTATAAAGCCCTCTCTGAAAGATATTTGAAATACGCTGTAAAACATGTAATGGGTTTTCTAAAATGTTCTATGCTCCTACCAGAATCTTCTAGCAACTAAATATTTTGCACCATTGTGTATCAAATAAGTCATCAGAACTTTCACATAAGTGCAATTGAACTATCTGTAGAACGACTTGGAACTACTATGCAACACAAAGGAACTATTAACCTTACTTCTTGAGCTTTTCTCGTATCACAACCAAATGTGTGGCTTTTCTACTGTGTGATTAAAGTCTTCTATCCGTATTTCTGAAACCACGACCATATCAGTGTAAACTTTGACCATAATAAGGTTATGTGGTTATCTTTGACCTTTAAACATAAATAGTCAAGGTCTCCAACTAGGCATCCCAACAACTAAGTTTGCATTAATTTCATTGACCCGCAGGTTTTTCATTACAATAAGTAAATGTGAGATGTCTGTCCAAAATTTAGCAGATAATGAACACCCTAAACACTTGATTCCGGAACTGTGTAGGCAATTTTACCATTTAGGGTGGGTAACTGGAACCGGTAGGTAAATGTGGTATTATATTATTCGCTTACATAAATACCTTCACTAGGTGGTGGCATCAGTATTAAACATGGTGAGAAGATATATATTGCTCCTTCCGGAGTACAAAAGGAAAGGCTGCAACCAATTGATATGTTTGTGCAAGATATCAACGGAAAAGACCTAGAATTACCACCTCCAGAAAAAAAATTGAAGAAAAGCCAGTGTACGCCGTTATTTATGTGTGCATATACTCAAAGGAACGCAGGTGCAGTTATACACACTCACTCAAAAAATGCACTCCTCGTCACAATGCTGTTTCCGGGAAAGGAGTTTAAGTGTACTCATTTGGAGATGATTAAAGGTATAAAAAACGCCAAGCTGGGAAGGAATTACAGATACGACGAAGAGTTGGTTGTACCAATTATCGAAAACACTCCTTTTGAGGAGGATTTAAAGGATCGAATGGCCGAAGTCATTGCAGAGTATCCAGAAACATGTGCAGTTCTTGTTAGACGACATGGGGTATGTATTATGTACTAACATCATCTACTTCAGCGCCTTCAATTTTAGATATATGTTTGGGGTGATACCTGGCAACAAGCTAAAACAATGACCGAGTGTTATGACTACCTGATGGATGTTGTAATTCATATGAAGCAGCTTGGTTTAAATGCTAACTTGAAGCCAGAAGAATATGAACTATTATATCAGAAAACAAATTCCTTAAAGCACTAGTGGTATACCTAAATATTCATTACAATGTAAAATTTGTCATAATTTGTGGCCATAATTGTTTAACAAAGTACCCTCATGTCGACCGCGCGCGTGCGGGGTAACATGCCAAACAAGCTTTTCTCTCTTTGAGGGCTTTTGTTTTACTTCTTTCATGTGTTTCGGAAAAAAATTTTGCCATTGTCAATTGTGTTTATTTGATCCCATTGTGCGACCCGGATAGTTTTCATGTTCATGTTTGTGCATGTTTTCGCACCAAAGGATTATGTAAGGTGTTAATGAAAATTTGTGTAGTCAATTCTTTGGGAATTTAGATTTTTTATTGGGACAGAAAGAATCTGGTTTTGCTCCATGCAAAGTTAACTTATAAAAAGGCACTGTTCAAAGAAACCACAAACTGTTTACGCCTATATGTATATAATATTTAAATAAAACAATTATCAGGCTTTATCACAAATATTGAGTCATATCAATATTCAGAAAAATTAATATGCGAAAAATATTAACATAAAGGAACTTTATATTTAATGCTGATAGTTAAAACCCCCCAAAACTTGTACTTTTTTCATAAAACAGCATATAAGCTGTACTTTGTAAGACTTCTTCAATTGTTGCTTCTCGAATTTCTACATCAGAAGTATAAAACCACCTAAAATACGAATTGCTATAACTCCACTAAAATTTTGTTAAATCTTACTTAGTATTTTGGTGTCCACGTCTGTAAGTAATAAAATGACCTGAGTGCGCACTACCTGTATGTACAACTACAGCAGCAAGCTGATACACATTACGCCATTCAGCCGCTTTATCACAAAAGGAAGCAGCTCCCCATGCCGAAGGCATGCTGTTAGATAAAGGACTTCCTCCTTCACTTGTACTTGTGTACATCTACGTCAAACCATTCACTACAATGAGGCAACTACTTACTACTCACCGAGGTTGTAAGCTTCCTTTGGTTCTGGGCTTGCAAGAAAGTGTACGGAGCTAGTGATAACCTAATAGGAAATTGAACATAGTCCTGTCTTTTTGACATGGCCCCCGTCTGCCACATATTCCGCGAAATGTGAATACAAAGACATAAAGGTAGCTGGAAATACACGTAGGTAATCACAACACTTCTCAGGTACAGCGAAAATTTACCTTCCCAAAATTTAGCACTTTTATTTGCTTGGAATAAATTGGAGTTGACGTGGGATCTCGCCCTTCGTTACAACCTTCACATTGAACATCCAAGACCACTTCGGGAGTGACAAAATTCGTCAGAAGTTGATGTAACTTGTGACGACCCCATCCCAAATCGCCCATACCAGATGGAAGGGGCAAGGACAAACTTTCAAATTTATCATAACGGACGGCAGACTAAAATAATCCTTTATTTTACTTCAACTTTCACTTGATGAAAATACCTTATGACTACACTCGGTACACCTCAGCTGACTAGTTAAAGTTCCACTAAATGGATGTGATAAACTTTGAACGGGCGGTCCTGCTAGTAACTGCAAGGAACGGCAGGACCTAGAAATCCACCTGTATCGATGGTTGGCACCACCCCGCCAAGATAAATTGCTCGGACGACACAGGTCATTTAGAGACATTACACTTCCCATACTTTCAACTTCTGAGCTTTCCGGTTCTACGTCCGGATTACCGATGTCGCAGATTTCCAGTGCGTGAGAGAGACAACCGGCCTGAAACAGTACACTCTAAGAAGTGACACAACCGGAATATACCAGACCTTTCTAGAGGTTTTCTGCATCTCTTCGTCCAGAGTGGTGAGTAGCACATTGAGTAGTTCATGTGCATCCTGCTCGCCGGCCGGTATCACCCATCCCAATCGTTTTAGTGCATTAATGATCGCAGATGGAGCAAACGATGTCTCCTGAACAGATTTATGCGTCCCATTTATAACTATGAAAGAAAATCTTAAAACTTGTCATTATAATGGCTTCAAACCTGATAAGACTGTTGACAGTGTCACTCGCAAACTAGTATCTTTGGCAGATGAGTCGATATCAAGCCAACAGACGAATTGCGAACAAGCCGCAAGAGCGTGTAACACCGAATTTAAAAAGCACGTCTGTCCCAAGTTTACCAATCCGGCTAGGCGACCGCGACCGCGTCCAGAATGTGTCGCGGGCCCCCAGAACACGAAAGCACCAACAACTGCTGCCGCTGTTAATCCTGCAGCCACTAATAGTTTCTCAGATTCCATTTGCTTACTATGTAGGCATTGTTGAGAGGTATTTTGTGAAAGTTTCCGTTGTTACTTAAAATTTTGAAATATTTTTGTTTTTGGTTTATGAACCTTTCCACTTTCGGTTTCGATTTATGTCGAATCAATAGTCACTTCCAATCTAGAATACAAGTTTCAGAGACACTTCCTAAGTGGTTGCGTTCAATTACTTTTACTCCATGATCAACAAGGCGTGACAGTTGTTCCTACTTTACTACAAACGCAGTCTAAACTTCGTTTAAATTAACGCAATGGATTAAGACATATGATTAGTGGAAATTTGACAAAACGTCAAATTTCAACCAATCCTCGACCGTAATCCACTGGTTAACTCCAAGCTAGGTTTAAACTGTCTTTGTGCAACCGCCCCTTACTATAGGTATTGGAACAGTGGTGACAACTTGTCATAAACCCCCTTCGACTGCAATATTGGGGTTAACTTAAACAAGGTAGCATAGGACCTCGCAAAAAAAGGGTACACTATACCAAAGTTTAGCAATTTAGCCTCAACATGGCGACCGGCAACGCTATAAACCTGAGCTATAAACACACATCAAACCAGTGGCGTATTTACGTCTAAAGTCACTAAAATCTAAATATTCTGTAGTATTCAGTATTCACTATTCAGTGAGTGATCAGTGTTGGCAGTCAACGATTTGGCTATTCGGCATCGATCGGCAATTCGCTACATTTGATGCCCAAAATAACAAATAGGTATCAGATACTTAGTACTGCTACTGAGGTAAGGTACCTGCGTCCTGCCTTTCACGAAATGACGAAAATAAGAATTTTAAATTTTAAAAACAGGAATTTTTTTTGCTTATAACTTTTGATTGAGACGTCTAATCGAAAAAGTACGAATCGTTTTGGATTCTACGCACCCAAATAATAAGAAAAAGTTTTTTCCCGAGAAATTTTGGTGCAGTCGATTTTTGGAAAAAAGTAAGATTATACAGTGTGAGCAACAATGATTGAAGCGTGCGTCATCACCGCTTGTTCCTATTAATATCAAAACTACCTTCTTTGTATGAAGTTGTATACGAAAATGACGTTCTGCGCTGTCACAGTGACGTGCGTCTATTCGTATTTCGTATCTTGTATCAAATCAGCATATGCTATGAGCGGCACATTGCCAATTTAGCTGAAGCGGCACGCTTCAATCTTTGTTGCTCACTCTGTACCTACAGCCTTTTTTTTGCCCAGAAAAAAAAATTGTCTCAGATCGACCGGAAAAAAATATTTTCTTATAGAATGTGGCCTGTAGAATCCATAATTTCAAACAGTTCCAAGATCGGACTACTAGATCAAAAGTTACAGCCCTTTGAATTTTTTGTCGAAATTGGTTTTTTGCCCATAACTTTTGATGGAGACGTCTAATCGGAAAAGTACGAATCGTTTTGGATTCTACGCACCCAAATTAATAAGAAAAAGTTTTTTCCCGAGAAATTTTGGTGCAGTCGATTTTTGGTAAAAAAGGAAGGTAAATAACTGCCTTTTTTTTGCCCAGAAAAAAAATTGTCTCAGATCGACCGGAAAAAAATATTTTCTTATAGAATGTGGCCTGTAGAATCCATAATTCCAAACAGTTCCAAGATCGGACTACTAGATCAAAAGTTACAGCCCTTTGAATTTTTTGTCGAAATTGGTTTTTTACCCATAAATATACCTATTATTCAAAGTTTTCGTTGCAATAAAGGGGCCTGTCAGCAGTAAGAAATAAAATGCCGTTCTAATCTAATCTTTTTCGCCTGTACAATAAAAAATAGATAAATGACTACCAGCATCAGCAACCTGCAGCCCAATTTCTATTTCTTACCCCCCCCCCCCCTGCCCCTTCTAGTATGCACTGGGGACTGTATGTGCCACGAACTTGTTTAATCCCCCCCAGAATACGTACGTACGTACGCCACTGCATCAAACAAATACTCCCTGTCCTTATCAAAACGCCCTCAAACAAACTCTAATATACGGCAAAACGTACGGCAAAAAGCTACACTTCAAACGTCCACTACCATTTGCCAAAGAAGCCCACGATGAAACAAATGCAAAAGGACACGATTAAACAAACACAAAAGACCTCGTTTAACGTCCGGTTCCCTTATTAAATACCTATCCTCTTTCCTCAATTCCGCTCCTCCTTAAAATACGGCTGCTGCCAAGCAACATTTATCCATTTGGCATTAACACCGCGTGCGCACCTATGTTTTCTAAACGGAGATAACACGCCCTTATCTTGCAAAAAGTCTTATTTCAATGTGATAAAAATTTGATCTTCCATAAAAATTAAATCATACGATTATACTCAGATCCGCGAGATTATTATTATTATTATAATACTATATAGAAATCTTTATAATTCGTTCAAGTCCAAGTCCAAGCGGTCTAATCAACAAACGAATCTATTTGATCAATGCCACAAAGTTGCAGCCAATCAGTCGGCAGGATACTACGGTGACTCAGTAGCGCCGCTAACCGCTGTGTTTCTGAAAGAAGAAATTGAATGCGTCCAAAGTTGCAAATGGAAATCATAACATAACCTAACTAACTTAATCAAAGAAGAAATTTTTGATTTGTGCAAACTACAATTATTTTCTCACTTTTTACAGCAAACAGTGAGTGCATTACAATATTAAATATGTGAATTACAATAATTCATTATTGTAGGCATCATAGCACAAGCAGAAAATCTACAACATAGCCTCACATTCTTTATTCGTTTAAGTTTTAATAGATCATTTCTTCCTTAAGTAATGTATAATTATAAGAAGTCGTACAATTCATCAAAAAATGGTGCCAGTTCTTACTATAGCAATAAGTCGAAGGACACAAAATTGTCAACAACCCGTTTTCGACCAGATGAGACTTACCCAATGGATAATGAAAATCGTACACCATTCTTTCCGGTTGTTAAACAAAGCGATAACACTCAATGCCTACCCAGATATTCGGCGATATTAAATCGGTCCCTTGAAGACGGTGTGGGCATGGAAGACTTGGACCAACTGCAACAAGATCTCGAAAAATTACTATCTACATGTGCAGTGCGCTCACGTCTGCTGAAGTCTGAGGTCGAATCGATAGATAAAATAGAAGAACGTCGAAAAACAAAGAAGGGTAAACCCTATGAGAAACCACAGCCTTTGAAAAGGAAAAGACCAGATGAGAAAGTGCGTTACAAGGATGTTAAAAATGGAAGTCGCATAATCAAGTCTCGCCATACTTTACCCAAAAATAGTTTTGTTAACGATTTACCAATCGAGAATGAACTACCAAAAATGACACTGCCCAAAAACGACACCTCTGATAAGTTTTGGTTGTCTGTAGAGGTATTTTGTGCGGACGTCGCTAAAGATGATGTTGTTTTTCTGGACGATTTAATCCGAGAGTGCTCTCAGGATGTCGACATTCCGATTCCGGAGATAGGTCAGCATTACTCCATAGAATGGTCGGAAGACGTGCTGGGTCAAGAACGTGGGATCGGCAACATACAGAGGACTGCTAAATCAAAACCGACATTCAGTAGCGAACTGAAAAAGAACGGTCTCAATGCGATGGTGGATACATTCTCGAGCCCATTAACGCAGCGTTTGCTAGCGGCACTCATTGAGGAGAATGTAGTTACGGGCAATCCAACAGTGACAGACAAGTTAAAGCCATCCGACTTTTGTTTGACGAAGACAACGAACGGTCCACGAAATGACACTTGCATGGATAGGCGATTGAGAAAGGAACTGGTCGAACAGGGTATACTAGACGTCGAAGACTTGCCGAAGAGTATTCCGCCCGATGACGATATTTTGGTAGAAATCAAGAAGTGCATGCAAGAATTGAAGACTGTCAATGAAAAGAATGTCTCAGAGCTGACGAAGCTGCGAAAAGTGATCGCTAAGGATTTGCGGCGACAGGAAGTAAAGGAGGCACTCGAGAAGGTCGATAATGAGGCAATGGACGTGTACAATAAGATGCTGTTGGCTAAGCAGAAGCAGAATCCGCAACTGGATCCGTTTGGAAAGCTTTCGTGTAAGCAAAGCTTGGGGGTGGAATATGAGGAAGAGGCAAATAAGTTGATTCAGCAACAAGTTCGATTACATAAGGAATTAACTGAGCTCACTAACGCCACTATGTTGTTTTAATTGGACATATTTATTTGTTAAGGAAGCGTGACGATTTTATTTCCTGTTTTGCATCGATGAATTTCATTTAATCTTTCTTTATTCCGGCAAATTAGATATTAAAGTACCATTAATACAGTGTATATACCTTAATTAATAAAGATGAATGTATGGGGTCATACGCATATCAGATAATGCACGCTTTATTTGCATGACTTCAATGCAGTTGTTTATTTTTCAATCGCCTACTATGTTTTTTTAACTTTTTCCACTATACCTCTTAAGGAGAGTAATAGGCTAATTACTAATTAGTTTCAAGATAAGCATGTGCATGTGCACAGATGTTTTTTTAGTTGAGTTGTTGTGTCCTGTATTAATTAATGAAAACTGTTTTCCAGCGCTTAATTGTTAAAGAGAGTTTTCCCACCATCAAAGGACCAATACCTACGTCGAATCGGGTTGGGGATATAATTAAGTCATGGCAACTATTTATTCCCTCGGATTTAAATGGCGATACCACAAGAAATTAATGTGCGTCAGCTAGTATGGCACGTTTTAATACGTAGACGCGCGGTAGATGGCAGTAGGCTCTATTGTTATTGTTATGATTTTGTTGACTGAGTCAATAAGCGTCATGCAGAATGGATGTTATCATTCTTATAGTCGATTAAAAACAGCCGTCCTCCGAGGGAGAAATGCTACAGAATCCCACAGTGAGCTAATAGAAGCCGTTGGGAGACATAGAGAACCGTCGCGATGTGGGCCGCCGATAGTTTCCGAGAGGACGCAAAAAAGCGTTGACCTCGCTCGCGCAGGCCGATCAGTAGGCAAGCATTCAGAATGATATATGAGTCGCGTAGTAATTAATTGACCATTGTATGGAATTTGGCTGAATCGACACTAGTTGTAGACAGTAATACAAAAACGGACCATCAATGAAATTTTAAGGGAAGACCTTCATCTGCGCAAAATTGCATCGAGCTGGGTGCCATATGCACTCACTGAAGGCCAAAAATTGGCACAATAGGCATATATGCACCTACTATGCTACCAGCAGGAAGGAGAAAATATCGTCCCCATTGAATTTTGAGCAATGTTGTCTATCACACTCTAGCAAAAAAAATAGTGTAGTGTACTTAACCCCCAACTTCACACTACAAGAACACGGAAATAAAATAAACCCGGCAACGTTTAAAAATGGCCACCCGAATGACTATTCCCTCTAAAACTAAACAAGATCCCGCTTAAATTTGAAAAGTGGCACGTGATAAAACATCTAAGGCAGGGCAACGCCTTGACCTGAAGCACAATAGCACAGATCTACACATACACAGATTGCTAACCTTATGCATTTTTTGGGAAACAAATTTAGGTATTCTTAAAAGCGCCCTCTATTGCGGAGCAGTATAAACATGTACCGTTTAAAACTGTAATATGACGCTTATGGATTTATGCATTAGATGTCGCTGCAAAAAAATTGAAGCGGTAAAGTGTGCATAATTCGAATTCGTTACTCGTTATTTTTAGCATTTGATATTTGTAATCGGTGAATTTATTTTGTGATTTGTTTCGGACTAGTTGTTTCAGTTTGTTATTGTTTAATTAATTTTGTTTCAACGACATCTAACGCATAAATCCATAAGCGTCATATTATAGTTTTAAACGTTACATGTTTATACTGCTCCGCCATAGAGGGCGCTTTTAAGTATACCTAAATTTGTTTCCCAAAAAATGCATAAGGTTAGCAATCTGTGTATGTGTAGATCTGTGACAATAGGGAAGGAACGTTAAATAAAACACTGAAATTGTGAAAAGTTTGTTTAATAATGATCGTAATTATTATGATTGTGAAAGCCCGGAAATTTAGTTGATGTACATTAATATAAACAAAGCAAGCAAAGCCAGAAGGGTGTCGTACTCTCGCAAAAGTCACTGCCAAGGATAAAAAGAGTACGACGGAGAAAAACCTTGCAGTTTGATTAATACTAATTAACAAAATATTTTGTAAAAGTTTAAGCAGTAGTTAACAAAGATAGTAAATGCATATACACAATGTTGGTTACACTCAAGGTTAAAAGCAAGTTTTTGGGGACAATGGGTCAGGTAGTAGCAGGTACCAAGATTCTGAGAAAGGGTGAAATACACAGGATGTGACTCACCTTTGGTGCAATAGTCCTTTTGTTAAAAGCAAGATGGAAAACTACATGGCCTTGTAGGCAAATTTGACTAAAAACAAAATATGTGAAAATTATTGAATCGCCACTCATTTAACGCACATAGATTCTAAACTGAAGAGCTTTGATTAGCGTAATCTCGCTCCTGCAAGATGGGTAGTCCGCCCCTGGTTTCGGGGTTTCGAACCTACAGTTGGATGTCGAAGACAGTGCACGGAATTAGGTGGCCTAACACATAATTATAGACTACAGTTTCTTTTTCCACCTCCCGTGACTGCTTCATTCACGGAGAAAAGTCAGTACATACATTAAACGAATCAGTAACTTCCACATATTAAAATAAAAAGATCAAAACTTATATGAATGTAACTTCAGGGACAAGACCAAGTAATCAACATCAATAAACATAAATTAAACAAACATTACACCAAAAATATAAACAATAGCATAACGGTATCACACATATGATTGCATTGCGGTTAAACAAAGTAAATTTCAAAAACAGAGATTCAAACACACAACAAATATAAAATGCGGCATACAAAACACAAATACGATATAAAGAAATGCAAAAATTACTACCTGCATTAAATAACACAAAATAACAACAAACATTTATGGAGCGACGCGTTCACGACCGCCATTCTAGACAAGATGCCAAACGGAACTCCCGTTCGTGCTTCTAGGTGGCGCAGACAGCTTTTTCCCACCTAGAAATTGCATGGTTGCCAACTCTCAAAAATGTATGTATCATCGTAAGTTGTATATACAGGGTGGAACCTCTCAATAGTTGCAATAAATTAACCCCTGTATATATTTGGAATTAAAACGAAGTCACCCTAAGCATGCTTGGTGCTTGTTTTATTTGTCGGTGCGTCTGTTCGATGAGCGGATGATAAAAATAATAATTAAAACTTTAGGTATTTAAACTTAATTTGTTTAATCGATCGCTTTGTTGCGTGATGTGCTTTATCTCACCCTGAGCGTCTTTTTTCAGCTGATTTGTGCCAGATAACATGGATATTCTTTTAACATGCTAGATAAGGTATGTGAATATTCTAAATATCCGCATAGAATACCACAAACTTCTATGTCCGAACCCGGATTCGAACGTCGAACCATCAGGTACCCTTGGTCGAACTTCAACTCCACTGAGCCACACGAAGCGGTTATAGAGATTCCACACGGTTCCATAATTGGACCTCTTTTAGTTCTAGTTTAAGTAAATCACATTTTACATGTCAGATCGAAATAGTATCCTCACATAATTGTATATCGATGATACTATCACCAGTTACAACCTCCAGTGACTCTACTAAAACTGAAGAACAAATTAATACCTACTGCACTCAATACGGCAAAAAAGAGGAATACGGCCAATCGATTGTTAACATCAGCAATAAAGGGACAAATTGATAGTGCAGTATCTACTGCTGGGTGTTTTGTGAAAGCTCGACTAAGCACTGTAAACAAAAATAAAAAATCAAAATTAACAGACTTTGTGATTGTGTATTCAATGGGAGGGTGGAAAAACTGCAGTGAATTGCACAATTTTGAATAGCAATGGGAGGATTTTTATTTTTTACATTACATATTTTTAAACAGCGGTAACCTTAGGCACGATAATATTAGTTGATGATTTTATTGCAAAATCCCTGAAACTGACTAAAACAATCGCTATAAAAATCCTCTCGCCTAAGATCAGTACATTCATCTTGAAACGTCTTGGGAACAACGCAAAACAGATCACTATTACTGCACTTAAAGGAAACACTTATATTATAAGTAGCACCCCAATTTAACACCTTTTCAATGCAACTACACTGCCAGGGATTGAAATGAATCCATAGCATACGCAGTGCACTTTGCAACTGAGTTAGTGTCTGATCTGAGATGTAAGTGATTTGGTTTTCGTTTACTCCCAGGAATCGTAGGTTTGGTGTTGGGCTAAAATCCACTTGAAGATTTGTTAATTTATTTTTGCCAAGGTATAACTCACGCAATGTTTCTAGGCCTTGAAACGCAAGTTTGTGTATGTAAAAAATTTGGTTGTTCTCCAAATCGATGCCTTGTAATGACGGCAAGGTTATAAATGAAGCTCTTGGTAGAGATGAAATACGATTGTTACTTGCGAAGATGATCTCCAACTTCGATGCATTGTAAAACCAATACTGATTGAAGTGTTCAAATTTGTTGTCGCTGAGATCGATTATTGTCAAATTTGGAAGGTGATGAAATGTGTGGTGCATTAACACTTCAAGTTGGTTTTTTGATAAGTCGATTGCTTCCAAATACAGCATGTTGTCAAATACGTTGCTTTCGATCCAATTAATCATATTGTCACTTAAATCGATTTCTAGTACGCATGGAATATTTAGGAATGCTTCGCCCATGACTGTTGTAAGATTGGGATTATGAATAAATTGAAGGCTAAAATTGGCGGAGATATTTGCAACTGCTCCTCTCTTTAAAGACGTAAAACGTTGTCTTGAGACTCTAATTTTCTTTAAGATGTTATAATGCAACTGGGTTGAAGTTATGCACCCTTGCACCGTTTGAAAGCGCTCCCCACTTTCTTCTTTAACCCATACTGGTATGTTTGGAAACGACGTCTCTTCGCAGACTCTTGACGAATAGGATGGAATGATATATAATATTGTAAATGCAATAACTAACTGTAACATATTAATGCTATTTATTGGAAGCTGAGTGATAAACTTTGAGCAAACTTATCTTTGTGTTTTAGATGTGAATTTATTTTTAGACACACAAACACGAGAAGTGCGAAATGATGACTAATAGATGACTTCATTACACAATTCGAATAGACCGATCCATTGGTTATCTAGTCAAGTAAGAGATGCATCATCATATTTGAATTAAATTACATCATCAATACCTTAATGTTAAATTACCTACATCCACTTTGATACGTACTCATTTGTAGAGACATTGGACTAATTACGGACACTTTACGAACGATAGGGTTATAGCCTTAGACAAGCTTAATGCAATGTTTGAACGTAAAAGTTCGATAATTGTGGGAAAAGACGAAAAATAAGCTTGGTCGTTCTTCCATAGAAAGTCCTTCGGATTTTGAAAAGCAATTGCCCAGTCCGTCGATTTGCAAGAGTCATCTGCACACTTGTTGAAAAAGGTTGCTTTAGGGTTCACTAACTGTAAAAAAATTGAGAACGCTCTGGAAGTCGCTTAGTGTTTTTAATTTGTTTATTTAATTAATCAATGACTATGATATACCTACGGCGATCGGGTTTTCATATTGTTTTGCCATCAAAAGAAGATCGGATTGTAAAAACAGATTGTTAACTTTCCAGATTTCTTTTTTTTATATGTTTCCGTAAAACACAATAACATTTGAAAATGAACGTTCCTAATCAACTGTATATCTTATGGAAAATTCGATTCTAAACAAATTTATTTGTCTTCATTTTTTCGCTTAGAGCAATAGAGATAATTGAAGTCAAATGCGAAAAAAACGACATTTTTCCATTTTTTCTTCGTTTTTTGTTTATAACAATATGTTCCGGCAGTTTCCGGCCAGGGGGGCTATGATTTTTGGATTCAGCGGTCTTTTTTACAGTTGATCTCGTTGAGTGTAACAACATGCAATTTAAGTGGCGGATTTACATACAGGGTGGTGCCTCGGGCGACGCAGCATAGGGATTTCAATGGTAATTTCTTTATAGTCAATTACTAGCTCCCCTAATTATTTTAGAGCAAAAGTCTAAATACGTTTCTTTTAGAGAAAAAAATACTGCATCTGTTCATACTATTAGTTATAATTTTCCGTTTTTCAAAACCGTAGAAATCGACAAAATAAAAAAATACATTTTTATAAATCAGTGATGCTTTGGAATCTTTTAACAAACTACAAGCGCATCGCATTTTATAATTCCAAGGCATATCTGATTTACTGTAAAATGAACCTTTTTATTTTGTCGATTTCTACGGTTTTGAAAAACCTTATAGACTACCTTATTGACTAACTATAGAACGTTCTTGCCGTTCGAATTGGTTACGATAACTTTGGTACTACAATATTAAATTCCAAAAATACAGCCTTTGGCGCTGGCAGACTTGACCGAATTTATTTGGAAGGGAGACTTACGGAGCTGTATAATTAATAGCGGTGTTAATTAAATAAAGAGTTTGATCTAGAGACCTCTTGAAAATTTCTTTGTAGGTAGGTAACTGGATGAAACCGAAAATCTCATTTTTGATTTCTAGAATTTGATCGGTAGGTACATCTCTTTTTCCAAGCAATTCTCCGCAATTTCAAATGTTTTCTTTTCCAAGCAAATCTCCCACAGCTTCACAAGCCGCTATCCTCAGGAAAGAACAGGTGCATTTAAATCTCAATTCAAATTCTCAAATGAAGATACTTACCTATACAGGGTGGTGACTTGCGTAACGCATCATAGGGATTTTAATGTAAAATCCATTACATGCGATTATTGGCTCCCCAAATTATTTTAGAGCAAAAATGTATTAAGGGTTTTTTGTAGAAAAAATGTTTTTACGCCAATCAACAGTATTGGTTTTCAATTTTTATCATGTAAAGGCGGAAAATTGGAAAAATAAAACCTGCATCTTTTTCAATAATCTGCGATGCCATGGAATTTTCTAAAACAAAATGATATCCAGTTATCAATTGGCAGCAGTTCGAAATGGATTTTATGATCGATTTGGTTACTGTCTTGCAGTTAATGGTGACTTATTCGAACATTTATTGTAAATTGTTATTAGGAAACCGTTTTTAGTAATTTGGTCTTTCGCTTTATGTTGAATTCGCTGTTTTAAATATAATACTTTTTGATAGAATTTGATTTGTTTTATAGCAGACATTCCATGGCATGACGGATATTGGCGTAGTTTTTGTATTATAAAATTCCATGGCATCACAGATTATTGACAAAGGGGGGTTTTATTTTTCCAACCAGTTTTCCGTCTTTATTTGCAAAAAATTGAAAACTAATACGGTTGATTGACGCAAAAAATTTTTTTCTACAAAAAACCTCAATAAGTACATTTTTGCTCTAAAATAATTTGGAGAGCCACGAATTTTACATTGAAATCCCTAATGATGCGTTACGCAAGTCACCACCCTGTATAGGCGGCGCAAAGTAATGGGACGTTTTGCGGCATTTTCTAATTTCGGTAACAGTCGGCTCGGACTGAGTCCTACGTACGTTTTCGCAGCAATTTGCTCTAAGGTTTGCCACTAACAAGTACTAAAAGTCATTTTATTTCAGAATACTTCTACAAATTCACACGCAACAGAACAGTTTCGATCGACTGAAATCATTGAAATTTTTCACTCAAAGCTGAAATGAAACACGTCACCGTATCAAAGTTATCTTCGTTAGAAAACGTAGGTAATTAATGAAGACATACCTATACTCGTAATTATTATACAATAAATTAAACATCAAGCTAATATGTGAAAAAATCCACTGTCAGTTCAAAACGCCATTATCACATTCATTTGTTTTCCAAAGCATACTTTTTTTATGATTCTGAGGTGTTATACTTTTGGGCAATGATTACCAGTATAATAATTAATAATGTTATGGTTAAATCAAGGTTATTTCATTTGGTGAGTGAAGTGTATTATTGTCTTTTATACGTCTTTAATAGGCATGGTCATTCCCGCATACTTTTATTTTAGACCGGCTACAGAGAGTATAACTGCGGCCCATGCGTCTTTTTTAGGTGGTTTGTTGGTTTAAGATTTTTTTAAAAATATAATTTGCAAATTTATACAACAAATATTAATGCAATTAGATGGAGTGTGATATCGTATAACTGTAAATCCTTCACACAGTGTAAATGCAAACTGCAGTTACTTTCTGTAGTCTCTGTTGTGATAGCTGAACGCGGCTAAACTGTCCAAAGTGGCGACATCTAGACTATCAATAAAAAATTGCTTTTCGAAGTTCAAATTCAAATCAAGTACTCATGAAATTATAATTTATCCCGTGGGATATTTTTTAACTATAGATTCAATATTATGAATTTACTGCAGACCTGTTGCGACATCGAAGAAGATCAAATACGGCATTGGTTAAGCAGGCCAAATATGTCGATAAAACTCTACGCAGAACCTCAACTAGAACAGCATGTAACGGAGACAGTTAAATTCGTTTGCCATCTTCTTAAACGGTCGAATGAAGTATTTATAGCTGCTGTAGATATTTTGGAGAATTATGTAAATAAAAAGGTAACTTATTGGGATGAACCTCACAGTCTGGCACTTCTTGTATGTGCAATAAACGTAGCAAACAAATTACTTAGTCCAGCCGATGAAATTCAAATGAAGGACATCGAAAAGGTAGTTCTAAAATTGACTGACAAAGAAGTCGATAAAAGCACTTTAAACAATACCGAACTCGAAATATTAGTAACAGTCGATAAGATCTCGTCGTTTACTACAGTCACCGATTTGTGTATGCTACTTGAATATTACGTAAAAAATCTCAAACTCAAAGTTGACGTAGAGCCGCTATGCTTGGAATTATTAAATCTTGTGTATATCTCAAGGAAGAAGCTATTTGACAATGTGAAAACCGTTTATTCGGATTCCGCAGACACTTTAGGAGTTTTTAAACAGTTAGTATGCAACAAATTTTACTATGCGGGAGGAATTATCACTTGTGCTTTGCAATTGACAAAACTTAAGGTTTTTCTCAATATTCAACAAATTGTCGAAGACATCGCGCAAATTGCACAGATTCATTTCGATCATATTATTCTGTTAGCGAAAATTATACGAGAAGTACTTGTCGAAGAGTGATTTATATAGTAAGAACTAATTTTAAGCCGAACACTTTCCCATGTTAGATAATGATAAATGACGACATGTAAAAAACATTTATTACTAATTACAACCATTTCACTACGTAATAATTTCTTTTTCCCACTCTAAGCAGTGATAGATTGTTTGATAATCGATGAACTGATGGGTTTAACACTTCATTGGGATTCGTCGACTTCTGTTGGTTAACATAAAATCCACCGGCAGAGATTATTCGAACAGCATCCGCTGTAACAAACCAATTAAATGTCATGAGGAACAGTGTAATCTAGGGGTATTCATGATTGAAGGTTGGTATTAGTGAAAGTATTGAAGTGAGTCAAGTGTGATGTACTGACCACGGCTAATACTCACCGCTGGTAGGAAAACAACCAGCTTTCATTGCCATATCTAAAACACTTTGTCCGGGTTCTGGTAAAATTTGTACAACAGATGCGCCATCGAACATGCGCACGATTTCTTCAACTTTCATTTCGCCCAACGCCGCCACATTTCCTTCGTATAACGCCTTGCTGGCCGCTACCGCTTGTTCCAAGCCCTCCTTGCCGTGTACCAACAAAATAACATCCTCCGCCAACTTTTTCTGTGCCAGTCTCAATTCCGGTTTCTCCAAATGCCGCCTCATCGTATCCTTAATCGTGCCCACGCTATTAAAAGTGAAGAGCTTAAGCAACTTTTCAACGCTCGAATCCGGTGTGCGAATCCAAAACTGGTAAAACGTAAATGGCGAAGTTTTCTCTGGAGACAACCAGATGGCGTTACCGGCCGACTTTCCAAATTTATCGCCCATCTCCGTTGTAATAAGTGGCAGAGTGAGCCCTGGAATTTCTTAGTTAGGGAACGTTAGGCTAAAAGAACGCTACCGTAAACCGTATCTCTGCATGCCTTTCCAATTAAGTCGCGCCCCGACATTAAATTACCCATTTGATCGCTGCCGCCAATCTGAAATCTGGCAAAATACTCAAATGGTATACTGCAACTGTGCATACCTGAAACCGGCATCCATATTTGCTGTACAGGTGCAACCAATCGTACGATTGAAATAGTTGGTAACTAAATTCGGTGAAACTCATTCCTGCAGCTGTAGCCAATCTACTTTGCACACTCGTGCGTGATAGCAACGTTCCCATACGTAGGTATCGACCTGGCCCTCCAATGAAATTGATCGCTGTCAGTTTCTCATACCAACTCTCATTGTTTAATATCCTACAAGTACAAGCTAGTAAGTACCCCCAAATTGGCATACATAAAGCCCCCTTACTTGTATTCAGGTAAAAATTTGTCACTCCAGAAATACTTCTTGTGATTGTCAAATATCTGTTCTATGTTCTGGTTTAATCCCCGTATGTTCAGATCTATAAGTTGGGTAGAAAGCTTATCGCGTTCCGCATTACGACCGCTCGGATCGCCGATTTTCGCAGTAGCACCTCCGATCTAAAGCAATAATTCGAGCAACGTAAGATGAAGTACCCGCGAATGCTTACGCACAACAGCGATAGCGTTGTGTCCACCTCTTTGCCAGTGCAGTAGATTGATGAGCACCAGTAGATTGCCTACGTGTAAACTATCAGAGGTCGGATCGAAACCGGCATAAACGCACTGAGGAGCTTTATTTAATAAATCTACTATATCCTGCCTAAAATTTGTAATTGATTTATTTGTGTCACAGCTTAAACTAACAATAGCTACAGAAAAACATCGGGAAAGATGTCTTGATACATGCCTCGTTCCTTCAATTTTATAATATTTCTACTGCAGTACATCCTACGGAAATGGCCCAGCTTATTGGGGGATAAACCGAACAAACTTTTTAGCAACATTCCTAATTAATATCAAAAACGAAATAAACTGATATTGAGGTTATATTTGTGGCACTGGTACGCATACGTGACTCTTACTGTACAGCTTTGGAAGTGGCTCCCTAGCCCCAAATATACAAGGTGAAGGATTTTTGTGGAACCTCTTGAGTTTCTTTAAATATTAGGCGAAGTGGCGTAGCCTAGCTCGTTGGCGCCCGGGGCGCGATCAAGATTTGCCGTCCTATATTTTAGGAGCTGGTGAACATTTTGAGTTCCCTTATTTAAAAAAGGAGTTCACACTTCTTATTTTATTTTGGATTTCAGTACTTTTAGAGCGGGGGGGGGGGGGGGGGGGGAGGGGGATTGACCTCTTGACTATAAGCTTTCGTTTGACACCTATATGATCCGTGTCCCAGATGGTGCCATAGACATGAGTTTTTTTTATTGTTTCCTACTTTTCGTTATTTTCAAAAGCACCCCAAGATATTATTGGCAGGTATGACGCTGCTGCTCGTACTAAAGTGGCGCCCGAAGCGGATCGCCGCCCCCCCCCTCCGTTTCGCCGCTGATTAGGCGTATTCGTTTCTGGTGATTCTGTGCGATTTATAAATTACAATAAGGTTCACCAAAACCAGTTAGGTAAGTTTAAATCACTAGAAGAAAACCCACACCGGCAGTTTGTTGTTTGTTACTACCTAACATAACCTAACAATAAATGAACTGGTTTATTATTGAGTTTTTTAGCGCTAATATTGTTTAAATCTTGCTCATTCAATTCATTTAGATTTCATATTAAGAGAATTCTTGTTCATATTTAATACATAGACACATGAGATTTAACTTACTGTGACGTGTGGAAATATTTACTATTACTGCATAAACACCACCAATAAATATTATTAAATATTATTATTATTATGGTCGGTGTTTCTTGTGAGAACTCAGGTCTAGCCTGGTTAACTAATCGCACGGATTAAAATCAAGTAACGATTAGTGTCTGTGTCTGTGTCTGGTGAAGTTATGTAGGGTTCTAAAGAAAAATAAAAAATAAAAATAAAATAAATATTCACACACTCACATTGGAAATCTAGAGATAGTATGTAATTCATACTTACCAACATAGCTATTAATGGCCACAATAGTCAACGCTATCAGGAAAGAAGAAAACAAAACAAAAATATCATTATAATAATTCCTGTAATTTTATTAAATAGAGTTTATTGTGTAAGTGTTTCTTTGGCTTTGCGTTTGGGTTGAATACGAGTGGGTTGTGATAACGTGGTGTGTTTATGTGAAGAAGGAGTTTTGTGTTTTTTAACTGTGCTAGGACGTGTAACTTTATTGGGTGGACCTCTCTTTGTAGTGCATGTTGCGTTACTTGTATTTATGGTGTTTCTTTGTTCTTGACGTTGTATTTGTGTGGTTGCTTGGATTTTTGGTGGAGATATTACAGTATGTTGTGAGCGTGTAGTTCTGTTAAGGTTTTCGCGTTTCGGTTGAATACGAGTAGGTTGTGATAACGTGGTGTGTTTATGTGAAGGAGTTTTGTGTTTTTTAACTGTGCTAGGACGTGTATTATTATTATTATGGTCGGTGTATCTTGTGAGAACTCAGGTCTAGCCTGGTTAACTAATCGCACGGATTAAAATCAAGTAACGATTAGTGTCTGTGTCTGTGTCTGGTGAAGTTATGTAGGGTCCTTAATTAAAAAAAAAAAAATAAAAAAAAAATAAAAAAAAATCACACGTACATTGGACATCTAGGGATAATGTAATTCGTACTTACCAACATACCTATTGATGGGCACAATAGCCAACGCTATCAGGAAAGAGGAAAACAAAACAAAACAAAAAAAAAATCATTATAATAATTCCTGTAATTTTATTAAATGGAGTTTATTGTGTAAGTGTTTCTTTGGCTTTGCGTTTGGGTTGAATACTAGTGGGTTGTGATAACGTGGTGTGTTTCTGTGAAGAAGGAGTTTTGTGTTTTTTAATTGTATTTATGGTGTTTCTTTGTTCCTGAGGTCGTATTTGTGAGGTTGCATGGGTTTTTGGTGGAGATATTGCAGTATTTTGTGAGCCTGTGGTGCTGTTAAGGTTTTTGCGCTTCGGTTGTATGCGAGTGGGTTGTTTCTGAGAAGAAGGAGTATTGTGTTTTTTAACTGTGCTAGGGCGTGTAACTTTATTGGATGGACCTGTCTTTGTAGTACATGTTGCGTTACTTGTGTTTATGGTGTTTCTTTGTTCTTGAGGTTGTATTTGTGAGGTTGCTTGGGTTATTGATGGAGATATTATATTACAGTATTTTGTGAGCTAGTAGTGCTGTATAGGTTTTTGCGTTTGGGTTGAATACGAGTGGGTTGTGATAACGTGGTGTGCTTCGGTGAAGAAGGAGTTAGGTGTTTTTTAATTGTGCTAGGGCGTGTAACTTTATTGGGTGGACCTGTCTTTGTAGTGCATGTTGCGTTACTTGTATTTATGATGTTTCTTTGTTCTTGAGGTTGTGTTTGTGAAGTTGCTTGGGTTTTTGGTGGAGATATTTTAGTATGTTGTGAGCCTGTAGTTCTGTTAAGGTTTTTGCGTTGCGGTTGAATACGAGTGGGTTGTGAAAATGTGGTGTGTTTCTGTGAAGAAGGAGTTATGTGTTTTTTAACTGTGCTAGGGCGTGTAATTTTATTGGGTGGACCTGTCTTTGTAGTGCATGTTGCGTTAGTTGCGCGGCTAGTGTCTATTATGGATGTTTCTGTTCTGAGGTTGTATTTGAGATTGCTGGGTTGTTTGCGGAGAATGTTTAGTATGTTGTGAGCCTGTAGTTCTGTTTAGTTTTCGCGTTCGGTTGAATACGAGTGGGTTGTGATATGTGGTGTGCTTCTGGAAGAAGGAGTTTGTGTTTTTTTAAATGTGCTAGGGCGGTAATCTTATTGATGGACCTGTCTTTGTAGTGGCATGTGTGCGTACTTGTATTTATGGTGTTCTTTGTTCTTGAAGTTGTATTTCTGTTGTTTGCATGGGTAATAATTGGTGGAGACATTACAGCTATTTTGTGAGGCTGTAGTGCTGTTTAAGTGTATGTTGCGTTTGGTGGTACAGTCGGTTGTGTTTGTGATAACGTGGTGGCTTTCTGAGAAGAAAGCTAGTATGTGTGTTTTATTAGCTGTGCTAGGCCGTGTGGGTGAGGGCGTCTTTGTAGTGCGTGTTGCGTTACTTGTATTTATTGCGTTGTTGTTCAGGAAGTTTTGTGTGGTTGGTTGAGTTAAGTTTGGAAATATTACAGTATGTTGTGCTGTCATGTGTGAGTCTAAAGTGCTGTTTAGGCTTTTGCGTTTGGTGAATACTAAATGAGGTGTGATAATGTGGTTTGCTTCAGAGGTGAATCTCTGATTGTAGTATATGTTGTATTCCTTTGTTGTACTTGTTTGTTCGGGAAGTTGTATTGTGTGTTTTGTTGGGTTTAGAGGTGAGAAGATTTACAGTATGTTGTGTACCGTGTTTGTGAGCGAGTACTGCTGTTTACATGTATACGTTGTGGATCATTTCTGTATGTAGTATCTTGTGTTATGTTTAGAAATTTACGAACAATATGGCATTGTGTTGATAATGACTGCTTTTTGTAATTTCTGTAGTGTGTTTTGGTCTAAAACCTAATAGTTGTAAATTGTGGTGTATTGTCTTTGGATTAACTCCGTAGCACTAAGAATAAGGGAACTATAACAGTAGATTTCTTCTCCATTGCGTTAAGCTCGATAGCTAATCCGTGATTTCGGTGTTTTTTCTGCATGTGTTTTAGTTAAGGTGTTAGTGTTTGGGGATGGCAATGTCTATAATACAAATGGACTTTTGTCGTGTTTATACTATAAGTGTAATGTCTGGTCATTATTGTGGATAGTGTCTGTGAGTAGTGTCCTGTCCCAATATAATGTGTGTTTGTTGTTTTCGAGTATGATCTGTGGCGTGTATTTGTAGTATGGTGTCGTATCTGTATAGGATTTGTGTTTAAGTGCTAATTTTGATGTATGATTTTAGCTACCTGATCAGTCGAGTTTATTCAGTTTGGTGAAAGTCGTGTGCATGCGATATTATATGTTGGATGGTTCTGATGTTTGTGAACAAAGTCGACAAGAAATCATTTGTCACTTTTTATCTTATGTATGTGTTTTTATAAGTTGCGTGAGTTAATGACCTGGTCTTGTATTGCTAACATGAAACCCTCGTCTCCGGAAGCATCACATTCAGACAACCAACTGTGCGTTGCTATGATCAACACAATCTGGCAACCTCTTGTAGAATCGTCCATGTAAAGCTTTTGGTTCCATGTCTGTATGTATTTGTGATGTATGTAAGTTTGGAGTGGGTGGGGTACATAGTTTCGTGTAGGTTAAGTGTGTGTTAAATTTGTCTGCATATGTTACTGTTTTGTGTAAGATGAAGTATCTGATTGTTATAAAATTGTCGTAAATTGTGTATTTGTGTTGGTGTAATAGTTTTATATCTGTAAGTCCTCTACCTCCTTCCGAACGAGGAGTAAAAATCGTATAGTGGAGGAGTGAGGGTGATGTATAATTGTGTTTTGTTAATAGTGTACGTGGTTTCTCGTATTTGTTCTAAATCTGTATTGGTCCAACGTATAATCGAAAGAGTATGTAAGCACTGGTATCATAAGTGTTAATAAGCTTTGATTGTATTTCTACCGTGTAATTTTGTTTTAAGTATACTGCGTACTCTTTGTACGTATTGTGTGATAAGTGTTTGTTTTATACTCGTATGTTATTATTATTATTATTATTATGTGCTACTATACGCCCATAGTAATATACAAGTGTGTCAAGCGGTAATACAAAGTGAGTTCAATAATGTGATTGAATGGACACACGGTAGGAACGTTTATATTAATGCCACAAAGACTGTTACAATGACTTTCAGAACTCCACACATGGTATTACCCAAATCTACCCAAATACAGCTTCATAATTGTAATTGTTTGTTTAACTGTTGTACATATTGTGGATGTCGTTTGCTGACCCAGGTCAGTGAGACAATGTATTTAGGCCTTAAAATGGACAATCATCTA